AAAACAGGACAGGGCTGGGAGGGCTGTTGGCTGGAGCCCCAGGGCAGGCCCAGGGGGCCGTGTTTCCGCCCCCCTATCCCCCACCGTGCTGGAGCTGTGTGCCCAGGCGGGCCGCAGCCTTCGCCTCTGGGCTCTGGTTGCTGGTTGCTGCCCAGGCCAGGGCTGGATTTTGTGGTCAGTTAGTCGGCAGTTCTGCTCTGGCTCCTGGTGTGCGCATGTGCTGGGCGCCTTTTGTGGCGCTCTCCATGCTCTTGGTGCCGGACTGAATTCAGGTCTCTGCCCCAAGAGGCCCCAAAGAGTGCATGCGGGGGGGGGGAGAAGAAGAAGAGATTGGATTTATCCCCCATGGCCCTTCACTACCCAAGGGAGTCTCAGAGCGGCTTACAAACTCCTTTCCCTTCCCCTCCCCACAACAGACACCCTGTGAGGCGGGTGGGGCTGAGAGAGCTCTTGACAGATAACGGCTCTAGCCCTGACAGGACTATGGCTTGCCCAAGGTCATCCAGCAGGTGCAAGTGGAGGAGTGGGGAATCAAACCCGGCTCTCCCAGGTTAGAGTCCTCGCACTTAACCTCGCACTTAACCACTGCACCAAACTCAGAAGAGTTCCAGCCAGGTGTGCTTAGTCTGACTTTCTGGAAGGGACGGGGCCCTCTGGGGGGTGCACCAGGTGCCTGGAAGGTGCAGGAGCGAGAAGAAGGGGGCTGGCTTTCGAGAAAGGTCCTGAGGGCAAGGCCAGTGGAACACCGGCTACAGGTGCCAGCCGGCACTGGGCATCTAGTTCTCGTGCCAGGTGTGCCAGGACCTGTGAGTCCCCCAAGGCGCTCTGCCAGTTCACCTGCCAAATTCTTCCTGGCTAAAGAGCAGGACCAGGGGCCGGGGGGGGGGGGGCAGACCTGTGTGGCACAGCCCATGCCACCGACAGTGCCCAAATCAGTGCCCCCCCCACCCGCCTTTCCCTCTCATAGTGCAAAAGCTTGCAAGTAAATGCCCGTCTGGGCTGACTCTAAAGGGGGCAGGCACTCTGTGTGTGTGTGTGTGTGTGTGTGTGTGTGTGTGCTGGGGGGGGGAGAGGACCTTCCTTTTTGCAAGTTCCCTCCTGGGGGAGAGGAAATGAGGTGCAACATTCCGTTGTGTTATACTGGCTCTTGTGGAAGTCGTGAAGGGCAAGAAGGGGGGGGGGAAGAGGATTTATTTTGGTGCTTTTTCCTTTTGCCTTCACATGAAAAAGGCCCCCCCCCCCCCCCCAGGACAGGGCCTTCCCCTCTGCCGCCCTCCGGCCTCCACCACGCAAGGCCCTCCTTCCTGACAACACAACCTTCAGCCCTCCCGGTGGCAACACACAGACTCACACAACCCCCTTTACGCAGAACTGACACACGCTCCAGTGTTGGGGGGGGGGCATAAAGGGAAGGATATGGCAGTTGCCATGGGAACGCCCAGGACCGTCATGGTGGATGATGGCTGTCTCCCAGGCAACAGCAAAGAAGACAGTTCTTGGAGGGAGGGGGGGGATACTGCTTGAGAAGACTGCAAAGGGATGGAATGGACCCCAGGCGGTGGCAGTGGCGGCAGCGGGGGGGGGGGCGCAGGGAGATATGTGTGTGTATTATCGTCGCAAGGGGAAAAGAGTCTAGGAGGGCCACTCAGAGCGAGTGCAGGCTCCTGTCCTGCGTGGAACGTGAGGAACACGCGGGCTCCCTGTTTGCTCCCCCCCCCTGCAGTGGTGTCTACGCCCAGAATTTCAGGGGCATGGCTCCCCCCCCCCCAAATGGGGCGTGAGTGAGTCCGTGCTCGGGGCCTAGGCCCCCCCTGCGGGGGCAGGGGGGGGGGGGGGGGGGTTGGCCCTGGAGATTCCTGCACAGCGTCAGCCGGCCAAGGCTGATGGTCGCTAATTCTCAGCACAGCCCCAAGTTTAATTTTGTAACAATAATTGCAGCCTGCAAACAGTTAATAGTGCCCGGTTAACAGAAAGCCCTCCTGGGTCTGGGAGTCACCTGCTGCACGGATGGCGAGCCCCTTTTTCTCCCCTTGGAAGCAGGCTCAGCTCGGCAAGCTCTTCTTCTTCTTCTTCTTTGGGGTCCCGTATTTTTGGTGTTTTTTAATTTTGGTTTACATGGAAAAACGTGAGCCTCCCCCACCCACCCCTTGTGGCCCTGGAAGAAAGGCTGGAAAGGAAAGGAGAGAACTTTTTTCATCGTGCTAGAGGGCCCTGGGGCTCTGGTGGGCTGCAGGTTCAGCTGAGACAGGCATGAGGAAATACTGCCTGACTCATGTCACTCAAATGACGTGGGGGGGGGGGGGGGGGGGAGAGACTGGTCTTGGCAGCAGTGTGTGCGAAAACGATCTAGGGGTCTTAGAAGACCATCCCCTGGACATGAGTCAGCAGTATGATGCGGTAGCTAAAAAGGCAAATGCGATTTGGGGCTGTATCAGCAGAAGTAGAGTGTCCAGATCACAAGATGTGATGGTACCCCTTTACTTTACTCTGGTTAGACCTCAGCCTAGAGTATTGTGTTCAGTTTTGGGCACCACAACTTAAGGACATGGACAAGCTGGAACGTGTCCAGAGGAGGGCAACGAAGATGGCTGAGGGGTCTGGAGACCAAGTCCTAGGAAGGAAGGCTGAAGGAGCTGGGTGTGTTTAGCCTGGAAGAGGAGACGATGGAGAGGGGATATGATAACCCTCTTCAGGTACTTGAAGGGCTGTCATAATAGAGGATGGTGCGGAGTTGTTTTCTGTTGCCCCAGAAGGTCAGACCAGAACCAACAGGTTGAAATGAAATCAGAAGAGTTTTCGGCTAAACATTAGGAAGAGCTTCCTGACAGTTGGAGCGGTTCCTCAGGGGAACAGCCTTCCTCAGGAGGTGGTGGGCTCTCCTTCGCAGGTTTTCAAACAGAGGCCAGGTGGCCACATCTGACAGCAATGCTGATCCTGTGAACTGAGGCAGATCACGAGAAGGGAGGGCAGGGAGGGTTGCCTCAGTGCTGAGTTCTTGCGGCCCTTTCTTACACGCCTGGGGGAATGCTGATCACCACTTTGGGGCCAGGAAGCAATTTTCCTCCAGGCCAGTTCGGCTGGAGATCCTGGAGGTTTTTTGTCATCTTCTGGGTGTGGAACAGGGGTCACTGGGGGTGTGGAGGGGGAGGGATTTCTGAATTCCCTGCATTGTGCATGAGGTTGGACTAGATGACCCCGGAGGTCCCTTCCAGCTCTACGATTCTGTGATTCAGTAAGTTAATTAAAACGTGGAATTTGCTGCCAGAGGATGCAGCTGCTGGTGTGACCTTGGGTCAGTCACAAGTTCTCTCAGAGCTGTTCTCTCATGGGCAGTTTCTGTCAGAGCTCTCTCAGTCCCTCACCCTCACTCACTCAGCTTGGAGGGAACACTGGTCAGTCGTACTTGGAAGGGAGACCACCAAGGAAGACTCTGCAGAGGAAGGTGATGGCCCACCACCTCTGCCAACACAGCGCCACCTGAGTCTGTCTTCACAGGAGGGGAAGGGTGGATCTCTGCAGCAGCAGAAGGGGGTAGAGGCGGACGGCGTTGACAGTGAAAGCTGCACACGTGATTAGGACATGAGTTCCACGTAGCAATACTCAACTGCCGGGGGTTTGTTATTGGAAAAGGCCCCAAGAGCCTGGTGGGACGGGGCCAGGCAACCTGGCATGGGGAAGCCCCGTCTGTGGCTTTACTGGCCGCCAGGTCCTCTTAAGGAATGGGGCCGGCCGCTTCCGTCCCCCCACCAGCTCTCCGGGGTGTGTGGCACCCCCTGCCCAGGCTGAGCCTGTTCCCCAGGCCACAGGGGCAAGCGGGCACCAGGCTTGTGCATCCTCTGTCTGTTTGCCAAAAAGGGGGGCGGGGGGGGGGTAGCCAGAGAAGTGGGACCATGTGAGCGGTGTGTGTGGTGGTGGTGGTGCTGAAGGGTGTGATGAGACAGTGCTGTGGACGGTGTCGGGTGTGATTTGGGGTGTGTGTGTGTGTGTGTGACATGAAGGGAGCCTTTGCTCCCCCTCTGTGGCTGTGGGGTGTGTGGCACGCGTGTGAGATGCCGGGCGCTTGCTTTGTGCAGGGAGGGCCGGGGGAAACCAGGTCTGGTGCTCTCTGGTCGACAAGAACCCCCCCCCGCAAGGCAGGAAGGGGGGGGGACTGCGAGGACCATGAATAACGGTGGTGGGGGGAGCAAAGCTGCTTTGTGGAGCGAGGGGGGATCTGCTGCTGCTGATGCTACTGCTGCTGCTGCAGCCTTAATCTGAGGAGCCCTGCCTGGAAATGCAGCTGTCGAATTAATCGCTCGATGGGAGGGGGATTAAGAGGCCCAGCAAGAGAAGTGGGAGGGCTGGCCCTCCTGGGGGGTGGTGTGTGTGCAGGGGACAGGCAAGGGGGGGGGAGAGCCCGGCTCTTCCCATGCTGCCTCCCCCTCCTGGGGGGGGGGTCACGTGCCCAGGTGCCCACGGGTCTCGGCTGACATGCACGCCTGCACGTGCCCGGTGCCTCCCTGGTGAGGGCGAAACCGGAGCTGAGCCGCTTCATCCTCCCCCCAGCCAGAAGCGAAAAGATGATTCCCCCCCCCAGCCCCTGCCTTCAGTCTGGTCGCAGCTCAGTTCCTTCCCTGGCTTCTGGGGGGCGGGGGGGCGGGTTCCACATCTCCCTCCGGAGGAGCCAGGGACTGTGTGGCCATGAGAGAGGCCAAAGGGAAGTCGGCCTCCAGCTTTCCTGTCCTGGCGGGGGGGGGGGGGGGGGGGGGCACCCGT